TTTTTTTTACTACATTTCATATTTAATTGGCTGTTATTGAGTTATTCAGAGTTGTTACAACTTCTTGATTAAGTTTTGGTAATTTGTACCTTTCCAGGAATCTGTCCATTTCATCTGTGTCTTCTATTGTGTGAGAGTAAAGATTCTCAAAGTAGCTACAGACAATCTTCTGAATTTCCACTGGGTCTGTGCTAGTTATACCCTTTTCATTATTTATGGTTTTTATTTGAATTTTTTTCATCTTTTTGATGAGGTTAGCTCAAGGCTTAACAATTTTATTTACTCTTTCAAATATCCACCTTCTTGATTCGTTATTTCCTTGAACTGTTTGCTTTGTGTATGTTGAATTAATTTCTGCTCTAATCTTTATGATTTCTTTCCATCTTTGGGCTCTGAGTTTGGTTTGCTCTTCTTTTCTAATTGTTGGAGGTGTAGCATTAGGGTGTTTATTTGTTCCCATTCTGTTTTCCTAATGTGTGAGTTCACAGCTATGAATTTTCCTCTGAAAATGGCTTTTATCACATTCCATAAATTTTGATAATTTGTGCTTGAATTTTCATTGAATTGCAGATATTGTTGAATTTCTTGTTTAATTTCATCTGTGATCCATTGATTGCTCAGTAGAGTGTTGTTTAATTTACACATATTTATGTGGTTTTTCTGTTTTCTTGTCTCATTTTTTTCCAGTTTCATTGCACTGTTCTCAGATAACATGCATAGGATAATCTCTGTTTTCTTGCATATACCTAAGTATGATCTATTGACCAGTAAGTGGTCTATTTTAGAACATGACCCATGTGCAGCTGAAGAAATGAATATCCAACTGTGTTTTTGTGGAACACTCTGTATATGTCCACTAAGTCCATTTCTTCCAAGCTCTCATTCAGTTTTGCTACTACTGGTTTGCTAATTTTTTGTCTGCTTGATCTATCTTTTTGTGATAAGGGGGTGTTAAGGTCTCATGTTAAGACTGTGGTATTGGATATTAGATTTTTCATGTCCATTAATATTCATCTTACACAGTTGGGTGCTCCCCTGTTTGGTGCATGTACATTTATGAGTGTTACATCTTCCTCTTGAATTTTTCCCCTAACCAGTATATAGCGGCCACCTTTATTTCCTTTGATTATTTTCCTTTTGATGTTTAGACTGTCTGAGAACAGGATTGCTACCCTTGCTTTTTTCTGATGTGTTGGGGCATGTAATATTGTATTCCAGCCTTTGACTTTCAGCCTATGATTTTTTTTTTATTTGAATTAAGTGTGTTTCTTCTATACAGCATATTGTTGGATTTTGTTTCTTAATCCACTGTACCAATCTATTTCTTTTAATTGGAGAATTGAGTCCATTTACATTGATGGTTATAATTGAGATATATTTATTTACGATTGTCATGTTATTTACATGTTGTTGTTTACTCTTTTTCTCCTTGGGTGTTTCATTGACTACACTTTTTTCTAAACACTTCTCATCCTTCTCTTTGTTACTCCTGTTTTTCTGGATTTCCATGTAGTGCTCTTCTTCCTTCATTCACATACCTACCTCTTGGCTTTCACAGCTTTCCCTTCATTTATCAGTTCCCTGACTCACATTGAAACATCTCTCACATTCTTTGTTTTGCTCCTTATTTTTACTAACATGCTGTTCTTCATCTTTCTTTATGGTTTCTGAGAGCACAAGCCTCAGAACAGGCCAGCCATCAAACTGGTTTAGCTCTAGTTTTCTTCTAAGAGTAATATTACTCCTCTGCAGCTTTTTGACAGTGGCCACCTCCTCTGCTCCCAATTCCTCAGTCTCTGACTTGGTGTCCTCATTTCCTCCCCCATTGGCTCATGGTGTGCACATCTGGGTCAAGATTTCCTCAGTGTCACATTTGTTATTCTTGCCTCTATCCAGAACACATGTATCTTCTGGCTCTCCCATGGGAGGGATGATGATGTCCACAGACCTGTCAGACATCCTACTACAGTGGTTGTTGTGACACCCTGACAAGTGTACCCTTTGGAGGATGTACTTCTCTTTTGGGACAGTGAGTGAGACACGAATATCAGGTGAGAAAAGAGGAGACCACTATTGTAAGGATCGAGTCTCCATGAAGGAAGACCCCAAGAATCCGTCTCTCATGCAAATCGCAAAGTGAAAGCTTTATTATCCACGTGCACGCAGGGCAGCCTGCACACACAGGAACAGAGCATGCCTTGAGCATGGAAGGCACAGTTTTTAAAGACAAAAACCACAATATGGGGAGGGAGCAAGCAAGGTACAGAAGCAGATCGCATTGGTTAGTTTAGGTAGACCTTTACAATAATTGGTGGGTTTGAGAATATATGACTTTAAAAGGAAATTAAGAAGGGGCAGGTAAAGGGTAACTATGAACTAATTTTATGAATCAACTCTGTGGTTTTGGTGGTATTTCAAGCACAAGTGGGTTCAATTGAACATTGTGACCTATAACAATGTCCTAAGCCCAGAGGTAATGTTTTTGAAGTTTTGTCTGGGTTGTTTTTTTTTT